ACTTTAACATTCTAAGCTATCACTTAGGACCAACCCATTCAGAGAAGCAGCATATTTGCTAAGTCCTTCCCTTAGATAAGAACTTTACATGTCATGATGAATTTTTTAAAGCCCCTCAAGCTAAAATGGCATTATTCTCATTTTGTAGATAAAGAAGCTGAGATTCAGGGATATTAAAATAAGAGGACAGAACTAGGACTCAGGCAAGACTCTGACTCTCCTCTTATTACAAAGTCCATAGCTTCCCACAACTATGTCTCTGCCTGTGAATCACACCTAAAATTTCAAATTTACAACATGCAATCACTGATACATTCCTACAAAAGAGCTCAGGAAGTGCCACTCAAAAATATGCCACTTTGACATCAAACTGAGTGCACATGGGCAATGGTAGAATACAGGGAGATCTCTCAGAATTTCCTTTATCTGTACAGAGACAGCTTCTAAAAAGAACTCAAATGTCCTGAGTCTCCTCCTAGGAGTGACATCTACCAGGGAAGACAAGAGACAGGAGCTCAGTACCACACATAGACTGAGTTTGTCACAGACAGTCTCCTATCCTGGGGGTCATTCATCTATCCACCCAAATCATTTGTTCTCCCCTAAATTGGCTCCTTTCCCCTTCCCCTGTCAAGAGGGTATATAACTTTTGGGTCTTCACTGTGCTTTGGGGTATTTACTTCTCTTTCATGTGATGCCTCTATGCACATAATAAATTTATAAAGCTTTCTCGTTATCTGTCTACTGTCAGTTTATTTCATAGACTCAACTGCTGAACCTCAGAAAGTAGAGGAAAAATTTTCTTTCACCTGTACCAGTATGGTTAGGATTAAAAGACAAATCCCTCAAAAACTAATTTGCAACAAATTCATTATAAGACCCTAAGGGAATGATAAAGAAATGTGTGTCTTGAAACAGTCATTTGGGGGCTGAAGAAATGCTCGGTGGTTAGGAGCACTGGCTGCACTTGCAGACGACCTGGGTTTGGTTCCCAGCTAAAAACCATCTGTAACTCCAGTTCAGGGGATCTAACATCTCTTCTGGCCTCTGCAGGCATTGCATGACAAAGGGTACACTTACATACATGCAGACAAAACACTCAAACACATAAAATAAAAATAAATAAAAATTGAAACAGTCATTTTGGGGGAGACTTGGGGAAGGTTCTTTGCTTTATTTGACAGGTTGGGGTTTTATTTTGTGTGTGGGCTGGTTTGGTTTGTTGTTTTTAGTTTATTTATTTTATGTATATGAGTATTTTACCCAAATGTATGTGAGTCCATCACACATGTACAATGCCTGCCAAGGTCAGAAGGTGTCAGACTCCCTGGAATTAAAGTTCTGGACAGTTATTAGCAGCCATGTAGGTCTGGGAAGCAAACCCAGGTCCTCTGCAAGAGCAGCCAGTGCTCTTAATCGCTGAGCCATCCCTGCAGTCTCTTGGTTTGGTTTTGAGACAGGGTTTTATTTAGACCAGGCTGGCCTGAAACTTCATCTGTAGAAAAGAATGACCTTGAACTTCTGATCCTTCTGCCTCTTCCTCCAGAATGCTGGGATATAGCTTTACACCATCACACTTGGTTTATGCGGCGCTACAAATTAAAGTCAAGTTATGGTACACTCCGGGTAAGTACTGAGCTACTTCCGCAACAAAATAGCTATTTTTACAAATAATTTTCTTTTGATTCACACTGAATAAACATAACAGTTTTGTAAAGAGAAAATAATTTATATCTAACTGAAACATTTTTATCTTTGTGAAAAATCCAATTATTTTTCAATCTTTATTTCACAGAAGGAAAACAGGCAGATAAAGTATTAGTCAGGTAATATTATAAATTATTAAATCACATAATTTGGGCAACATTTGTTTGGGAAAGAAATAAGTATAGCACAGAATAAATATTGCTTTACCTGATTTTCAAAGATAGTCTTTCATTTCCACACATAAATTCATATATAAAAATGGGTTAAGTTTTATTTCAGAAGAAAGTCAAAATTAATCTCTTAAATCAAGTCAGAGCTAGGGGATTATAAATGGCATTTATTATTTCAAGTTGCTTATCTATCTTTTCTAAATTTTAATGACTGACATATTTTACTTGTTTTACAGAATATTCAAAACTGATATGGTTAGGGATATATTTCTTAATATTGTCTCAGCATAATTTCAACAGCAAGAAAGAACTTGTCGGGGCTGGAGAGATGGCTCAGTGGTTAAGAGCACTGACTGCTCTTGCAGAGGACCCAGGTTCGGTTCCCAGCACCACATGGTGGCTAACAATCATCCGTAATTCTAGTTACAGGGGATCCAACGCCCCCTTCGGTGCTCAACAGGCACTACACAACATGGGTACATTTATATACATGCAGGCAATACAATCATACACATAAAGTAAAAATAAAAATAAATAAATGAAGTTAAGAAAAAAAACCTTGGCCAAAAGTAGCTTTTGAAGAAAGGGTTTATGTGGCTTACAATTCCAGGTGGCAATCATTTCAGGGAAGCCACAGCAGGAACTGGTCATGTCACACCCACAGTCAAGAGCAAAGAGGAATAAAGGTGTCCTTGCTTGCTTGCTCTCATCTAGCTTTCTTGACACTTCAGCAGTCCAGGGCCCAGCCCATAAAAATGAGGTGCTGCCCACAATGGACTGGTCTTCCCACACCAATTACCAATCAAGATAATCCCCACAGACAGGCCCACAGTCCAACACAGTCTAGATAATAACTCATTAAGATTCTCTCCCAGATGATTCTTGGTTGTGTCAAGTTGAAAGTTAAAATTTAAAAATAATAAATAAAATATTTTTTTTAATGGGGCTGGAGCCATAGCTCAGTGGTTAAGAGCACTGACTGCTCTTGCAGAGGACCTGGGTTCTATTCCTAACACCCACATGGAGGTTATGAATCGTCCTTAACTCCACTTCCAGGGCCCTATTCTGACCTCTGTGGCATTGCACAAGACGGGTGCACTCACAGACACACAGGCAATACACTCATACACATAAAATAAAAATAATAAAATATTTTTTAAAAAAAGAAAGTTAAAATTAACCAGCAGAAATATATTGGCCAAATCCTTCCTCATCACTCCATCTGCTCACTGCAGCTATTTGGCTTCCTTGACCTAGAACACAACTGAGAATAAGGAAGAAAGAAAACAACAACCTCTTAAGTAACTCAAGCAGATGAGAGAAGCACACTCATTATAGGTGGACTTATACAGCACTTACTATTTTACACTACTTGCCAAGTCTCTTACACAGATGAGAAAACCAAGGAACATGGATATCTATTAGACGATATGGTTGAGTGGCACATCCAGCTTCCGAATGCAACAGCTATCCTGTCTGGATTGCAAGAACATTCTCAGGCAGCAATGGTTGTGTCATAATAACCCCACCTTCCTTCATGCTAATTATGCAACATGCCCAAACCAACAAGCACTTCAAAGACCTTAGACCTTGAAACTTAGTTCAGAAGATGTCCAATCAGCTCTGCTTTGGATTCCTACTAAGAATTCTAAGCAAAAATTCTCTTTTCTGTTGATAAACTATGGAACTTAGTTAGCAGGAGGTGATCTGAAAATACTGCAAGTATTTTTCAGACCTACCCCAGGGTAATTTTATCCATGGAGCCATAAGAATGAAGTCAGATTCTCAATCAAGCCACAGCAGAAGCTACTGACACCTCCGAGCTTTTCCATTACTGTACAATAAAATGTTTCCATAGGTTAAGATAGTTTGGTTATAGACTCTGTGTTAACCGTAACAATTCTGGATTGCCTCAGAGAGTCGTTTACAAATACTGCCAAGTATAACTATTAATCAAGCTACAACTCGCTTCTAAACACAATCTGGTATGAATAATAAATTCTATGTATCCCCATATTGTATCAGCTACTTTTCTGTTGCTGTGATAAAACACCATATCCAAGGCAACTTAGAGATGGAAGAGTTTATTTGGCTTATGGTTCCAAAGGGGTAGGAGCCCACAATGGCGGGGAGGCATGGCAGGGAGGGAAGGCAGCAGAGGCAGGCAGAGTAGAAAGCTGAAGGCTCATATCTTCAAGCAGGCACAGGAAGCAAAGAGAGAAAGAGATACTGGAAGAAAGGCAGGGCCACGAACTGCCAAGGTCCTCTCCAGTGACGCGCTTTCTCCAGCAAGGCCACACCTCCTAAAGGTTCCATGACCCTCTCCAAACATCACCACCAACTGCCAAGTGTTCAACTACTTCAGCCTATGAGGTTACTCCTCATTCAAATGACTACACATATCATAACTGATGTGAGGTAAAGTGAAGGTTTTAGGCAATTAGAGATGGCCAAAACACTCAGTGACAAGTGAGAACATGTTACTATACACCAATATTTAATGTATAATATATCTACAGAAATTTTTGTAATTGTTTTTACATTTGTTTATTTATGTGATGGAGGCATGTAACAGCACAGGTGGAGGTCAGAGAGTCCATTCTCTCCTTTTGACTGTGGGTTTCAGGGATCAAACTCTAGTTATCAGGCTTGTCGGCAATGGCTTTTCCCTGCTGAGTCATCTCACCACCGGCAGAAATTGTATTTTTAAGGGAGGCAAAATTTCAACAGCAGTTGGAGCTCGTTGGATACAAGATTTAGCATCAAGCAATCTCACACACACTGACAGGCCTAGAGGCTACTACACTGAAAAAAGTTCCAAATACTCTCTTGAGGGCTGGAGAGATGACTCAGCGCTTAAGAACACCGGCTGCTCTTGCAGAGGACCTGGGTTCGATTCCCAGCACCCACATGGCAGCTAACGACCGTTGGTAATTCCAGCTCCAGAGGATCAAACACCCTCTTCTGATCTCTGGGCATTGCACAACATGGGTTCACTTACATACTTGTAGGCAATACATTCATACTCATAAAATAAAAATAATAAATAATAAAAAATTTTAATGGAAGCATGAGCTACTGGGACTCGGTGTGGGTGGCTGGCTAATTCTGGGCCCAGCACCTTGCAGGCTCAGCTCTCCAAAGTTGGCCTTCCCACCACGCAGTCAGGAGTTTGCAGCATACCCAGGTGTTACCACGTTCAAACAATAAATTTTTTTAAAGGCTCTCTTGAAGAACTGGAACAAGCACTACACACATTTGTTCATTGTATTTTATTTTAAAAATGATTAAAAATTCTCTAATTCCTAATTGAATTAAATTTTGACATGATAGAATATTTCCAGCATTACAAAAAGAAAATTGCTTACTTTTGTTCATCTAGTATATTAGTTACTTTTCCTATTGCTGTGATAAAATACTTTGACCAAAATCACTTAAGGAAGGGTTTAGTTTGACTTAGAATTTAAGGACACACATACATGTATACAGCAGCCAAAAATTTTAAACTTAAATTTAAAATAAAAAATAAAAGCTCACCTCTCCTATGGACTAATTAGAGTCATGAATAAGAGAAAACATCAAAAATGGCATTTTTAAGGCTATAAATCTCATTATACAGGTCAGAATAAAACCTAGAAAGAAATGAACATGTGCACAGCAGTAATTTTACCTACATAGAGATCTACACTGATCAGGAAGTGCATGGGTTCATATTCTGCAACACTTTAAAATGTGCCTTATCCCAGAGGTCTTATCAACCATAATGACTTTATAGGAGACTTGAGAAATTGCAACCTTTGCTATATAAATTCAGATCAAGCTAAGGGGGCCCTTTCTTGCTGAAATATAAACATGTGCTCAGAAGAAATGTGTCAGGGCATATTTCACTGTCCCCAAGGGGAGTTCACTTGACTCTGAGTAGAATAAAACAAAAAGCTTCAGAGATGCCCTAAAATAAATCCTGTTTACAGCAGAGAGACTGGCATCTTCAATACAACTTGGGCTGGTGAATTCTGTAATTCAGGAAGTCCTCCGAGCTTTGAAAAAGCACTCTAAAAAGAATTTTGACAGGAATCCCATGTTGAGCATGTGAAATCAAGAGACAGGAGAGGGAGGGAGAATATGTGGCTTGTCTAGGCCATCAGATATCCAAAGTCATACAAGGAAACAGCTTTGGGGCAGATACTGAGTGCAAACAAGCCCAAATCAGGACTCCTCCTATGCTGCAGTGGCCAGAGAGCAATCTGTTTTCAACTTCTCAAGGAGAGGGATGCTGGACATATCCTTTAGGAATATTTTCAGCATCTGAAAACAAAAACCACTAGGAAAAGTGAGAAAATGCTGCTGCCCTCTGAAATGCATCACCCTCACTTGAAAGGCAACAGCTAAGTGGCATTAGAATAGAGCATGAAGTAGAAATTACCCTGACAGTGGCTTCCTGTTGGCACGAGCACCAGGACCATCACTCTACCACCTGCTTCTATTGAATGTTCAGATGGCCTGGGCAAGGATTTAAGAACACAATAGCATTTTACTGAAATATAACACTGTGTAACTACATTCTAAGGTCTAAGGTCCTTCATGCCATTTGTACTGCAATAGATTCTGTTGTCTGGGTATTTGCTTAAGATGTGCATGATGGTATCCTTTGGGGATGGAAGGAGACAGCATCTTGTTTCATATCTTGTCTTTGTGTAAATTCAAGAAATCAGGTTTCTAGAAATAGTTCTCTCCTATGAAGAAGATATGCATAGCGAGTTCCAGGCCAGCTAGGGCTACAGGGAGACCCTATCTCAAAAATAAATTCTGACTCCAAAATGAATGGCTGAAGTGGTTCCCTGGAACATTTCAATTACTATACTTTTTACAAACAAACGCGTTGAGGTGATACTACTGCTTTGTACTTGTGGAAGAATGGAGGAATTTTCACATCTAATAGTCCAAAGTGTTTTATCAGGCATCATTTTCTTTAATTCTACAATATCCCTACAAAGTACAGCACAAGTATAATGTTCACCATGGTCGGGGGGCTGTGTTTATATGGAGGGGGTACATGGCAAGTGTATGGTCAACATCTGGTGCTTTCCTCAATCATCTTCCACCTACCTTATTTTTTGAGACAGGGTCTCTCCTTGAATCTGGACCTCATCAATTGGCTGGACTGGCTGGCCAGCAAGCCCCTGGGATCCTGCCAGCCCGTTTCCCAGCTGATGTGACAGGGGCCCACCACACCTGGCTTTTTTATGTGGGTGCTGGGGATCAAACCCAGGTCCCCGTGTTTGTGCAGCAAGTGCTTTAATCACTGAGCCACCTCCCCAGCCCAATTTTCCCATCTTTGAAACAAAGAAACAGAGATGTCTAGATGCTGAGTCACACCCAGGACCCTATCTACGGAAGGTTAGTAAAGAAGGTAAAATTACTAGAGCTTAGATGAAATGGTGTCTCTCCAATTCTATAAGGCATTCACAAGGACCTAAGAATATCAGTGGTGGTATTTTTCTGTCTTCTCTTTTTTAACTCCCAGCAGTGTTTACTTTAGGAGCAGTGCTGTGCCAAATGCTCTGGGAAAGGCAAACAAGAGAGTGCATCTGCTTTCTAGGAACTGAGAATTTAAGAGAACATTGACAAGTTATTTACACTCAAAATACTAGGAACAATGAAATGTGTCCCAAAGATACTCAAACGAATTCAACAGAAGGAAAAGATCTCTCGTGAATGGAAAAAGCAGACTCAGGAATGGCTATTACATGCTCTAGCTTGCCAGGAACAACTCCAGAGTGTGCCTGTTGCCTGTTAGTGGCCCCTTTCACTCCCCCAGTGTCCCAGTTTGTATGACAAATTATGTAATCAGCCTTGTCATGAAGGTGATGACATTAGGTTGGATGAATGAAGTATATTCTACTGGGTGAGGATGTTAAGAAGGGACTATTAATATGGGGGAACATGACAGCCAGACGTGGTGCAGGCACAGCAAGTTAAATATGGGAGAAAGCCTACAAAGCTTGCTGCCGTTGATTCTTCCTCCCTGTATGTGAATGCTGTTCCATCCAAGAGATGGATTATTCCCCTTGAACCTAAGCTGCCCCTGTAACTTGCCCTGGAAGTAGCACTGTGGTGCTGGCCCAAGGTCTAGCCTCTACAAGGCCAGGACACTTCTGCCTTTGCTCTTGAAAAAGTGATGAAGGAAGCCAAAGATGCCAAAGGCAGGAAAAAGCTACCCCAACCCAGCCTGCTGCTGCCACAGTCCACCTCAGTGAGACACCCATGGTAGGAGGGGAGAAACCACCCAACTGTTTCATACAGAGCAAAGCAAGGGCCCAGCCTACGCAGGGTGCAGAATTCTGAGCAAGAATAAACTGCTTGCATGTCAGGACACCAGATTCTGAGGTGGTTTGTTACTGTACAGCAGGCAGCTACACAGCACTGAGTGAGCAGAACGTGGGGGTTTAATCTTGCTGATGTCTGACTGGAGAGATGGGAGTTTGCTGTTTTTCTGGTCTGACCTCAGTCTCAGGAAAGCCCAGGCTCACTGTTTCCTGGGAGTGGGATTTCTTAGTGATTCTCTCCAGTGGTAGAGGAGCCCTAGAAGTCTGGGCCCAGGACCATTTATCCTCTCCTCTAGGCCTATGTCAACCAAGACACAGACTTCCTGGGGCCTCCTTCCCTGAGCTTTAGTGAAGCTGGTGGGCATTGCCTTCCCGTGGGTGCAAACTGCCCCGCTGGCCGTGACTCCCCGTGCACTCTATGCTCTCACCGTGTCTGTAATCCCTTGACAATGTTAACTGAATTTATTACTCCCATTTCTGTGGCAGCCCCGTCTTTCTCAGGGCTCTGCAACAGAAAAGGCCTACATTCAATCCCTCTGAAGATGTCTTATATGTTAAGCTAATTGGCTTCCCTGAAGCTTCAGCTCTCTGATGGGCTCAAAGTTACGATTTTGCACATAGTTTCTTAGGTCAGATGTCTACATTTCAGAGGGAACTAGAAGCACGTGATTTTTAAACTGTGGTTCTAGGAACTCTGGGAGCTACATGGGGGACCTTCAGGGGCACACCAACAGCAATTGGAAACCAACTGTTCCACAGCATAGTCTGAGCACCAAGTGTGCATTACTTTCTCCCAAAACTCTCTCCCACCTCCACATTTCCAAAATGTAAGATAGAAAGGCTTTTCACACCATGCTCAAGAGATAAAGTTTTAAATGCACATACTTCATGGGATAGTTGACTTAAACTCCTATTTTGTGGGGATGATAACATTTTTTTCCCTCAGAGCAGCATATAATAAAGAGAACAGAACACAAAAAATGGCAGCATACAAAGGAGCACAGGGCTGGGGTGCAGCTTAGAGCTGTTTAGTGGTAGAGTATGTGTCTAGCATATGTAAGAACCTGGGTTCAACCTCTCTCTCTCTCTCTCTCTCTCTCTCTCTCTCTCTCACACACACACACACACACACACGAGAGAGAGAGAGAGAGAGAGAGAGAGAGAGAGAGAGAGAGAGAGAACACTTTCGGTTGGAGATAGAGAAATGGTTTTTAAAATGGCAGTTTAGAGGGTTGGGGATTTAAGTGGCAGAGTACTTGCCTAGCAAAAGCAAGGCCCTAGGTTTGGCCCCAGTTCTGAAAAGAGGAAAAATAAAGAAAAGAAAAGAAAAAGAAAGAAAACAGAAAAAACAAAAAACAAGGCAACTAAAAATTATGGTTTAGGTACAAAAGACAATTCAGATTCAAGACCTTGGCCAAAAGTGGCCTGTGTGCTTATCCTCAGAGAATGAACATACACACATACACACACACACACACACACACACACACACACACACACACACACTCCAGGAGAAGCAGGCAGTCCAAGAATCTGCTTAGCAGCTAAACAGCAACCAAGGAGGTCTGAGTGAGGACAAGATTAAATACACACAATTCCTTCTCCAGCAGCCTGACTTGGAGGTACAGACAGAGCAGCTCAGCACCTTGCTGATCCTGGTTATTCTGAGCCTGCTAAAGGATAAAGGATGGCAAGAAGGGATACATGTTAAGGACAGGCATCCTGTAAAGAAGTCACTGAAAAGACATGAGTAAGAGCAACAGAAAAGCAAGTTTCTACAGAAAGTATACGGTTTCTACCGTTCCCATGATTAGCACAAGGAAACTTCACACATCAAGAAACAACATCTAGGAAAATGCTAATATTCCTACACCCA